AAAAATAAGTATTATATTATATTATATTTATTATAAGACCTTATTAGCTATACCTTACGTATTGGCTATAGAGATATTTAACTTTTTAATAGTTTGGTAACTATTCTAGTTAACTAACACGCATATTTAATATTGGCATTTAAACCATTCGCGATCCTAGGATATAACAGGCTTTGCGATGTTTTTGCAATACGACCGGGTTTCTTGTGCTCCGGGGATGGCCGTTTTGCAGCTTTCCACCGAGTACCTCGAGAACATACCGTATCTACCATTAAAATTCATCACGACTGCTTCTGTTTTTTACAAGCTACTATAAGCCTCATACTATTACGGTAAGACGTCATTCCTTACGAAGGCCTGGTCCTTGTAGAGGCACAATTAGGCATCACAGAGCTTCTTTTATTCAATACAGGTCATTTACTAGCTTCTAATCAGTCAGCTAACTCACCTAACTCACGGGCGTGCAAGCCGCAATGAATATTAACAGTAGATACGGTATCACATTTGGTTCAGAGACATTTCTATGGAGTGAGGAGAGCATAATATCCATCCGTGCTATAGCGCCGATTTGTGATACAAGAGATATAGACAAGCGACTGAGGCATTCTACATGAATATGATTCCCTCCCCCTTCTTCACTTTTGGGTTGCACGCGGTTCATCATGAACTGGTATGCGCCAATAGATGTCAATAGCTTGGATGATAAAATCCTCTCATACGGACCTTCGCCGATGAATATCACGAGTATAAAAGCTCAAGTGACCTAGACCAACGAGCTTGAGGATGAGTTGAAGTTGTTATGAGATGTATGTAATGAGTGGCTGCAGAGGAAACTTATTGCCACTAGGCCCGGGCCTGATGTTACTCACACCTAGAGACCGTATATCAACAGTCATGAAGGCTGGCTACAGTGCTCACGACATTCCAACAACTACTGAGCCTTCGGGTGAAATGAATTGACCAGGGACGAAGGGTTTTACTCGTTGAACCATCATGAAAACTGGCAGAGACTGATGTTCTGATAGTTGCCTTTGGTCTGTAAGATATTCGTCTGGCCTCAGTGCTACGCTGGCGATATGCCATAGATAGGTACTCTGTAGGTTACAGCACATCGCTCTCATTTTGCAAGGTTTTGTTACAGGGGCTTGCTGAAGTTCTGTGCTGTGCCCGTCTGATACTACCTTACCGTTGACAACATGCATTAAATTGGTATGGGCGGGGATGGGCAAGCACCGGTCATATACAGTGCATGCACCCATGAAATCTCCTTTGTAAGGTTGGGATCCTGTTGGCCGTTGGTTGTCCGTTCTAGCCGTTATATTGAGCGAAATACTGGGGCTTGACATAAAAATCTCCGGGTAGAGCACGTAAACCCTGGTTATCGTTGTGGCCCTTGCAGTTGGCCATCTCATAGATGAACCAACACGGTGAATGACAAACCAACACACATGGCATCCAGACAGATGAGGTCAAAATTATCCCTGAAACTTTTAAGCGATTGGATAGAATCACTTCAAAGACTCCTCGCCCAACATGCCGGGAACTACATAGTAACTCATGGGCTCAAAAAGTTCAAGTGGATTTTGGTGAGAGCATGTCATGGTGTCACCCACATAAAAGTAGCGTTGATATGTGGGCCAGTTAAACCTTCGGACCGCCCCGCGCTGGGCTTAATGAGGCAAGGAGGAGCTGGTAGGATGTGGGTGAAGAGTTTCATACCCTTGATGACTGCTCAACTCAGCGGTTAACGCTTTGAATTAGTTGGCCAGAGGATACAGTACATGGCATCATCACCCCTCACTACTACCGCTTGTCTTACAGTTCTTGCTCGCGGCGGGCGCTGAGCGGCCCAGGAGATTCCAGCAGACTGGTGCATCCCAGCCTCCCAAGAAACGGCCCAATATACCGGACAGGGCCCATACCCATTACATTGCTTCTGTCGCACTTCGATTCTTCTCGCTTCCCCATATTCGCCCGGTCCCCTGTTTTGGTTGTTGGTTGTTGGTTGTGTTGGTTCATCATCTGCATTCTATACCCGGTATACTCCCTTTCAGGTTCATTTTCGTCGTTTCATTGTTTCCTTTGGTTTTGTATTGCCTGCTTGCTAAGCTACCTGAGGCTTCAAGGCCTAGCACGATTGCTTCTGTGGGCGGAGGAGACGTGTTACCATTGCGGGGTTGGACTTCGTTCAACGTTGTCGAGATGAGAATTGGGTGTCTACAGTTTGCACCTCATGTGGGAGATGTAAACAACAACTTGAACCGCGCGGATTCAGTTCTGTCCAAAGCGAACCCAGACGATCTGGATCTCCTTGTATTACCTGAGCTAGCATTTTCTGGTATGCTACAAATCCCGTTGACTGCGAGATCCGCTGACAATTTTCAAGGGTACAACTTCAAGTCGTTACAAGACATCGCACCCTTTCTCGAGTACTCTGGATCCGGCATCACGTCCCTTTGGGCTAGGACCGTCGCTCTCAAATACAACTGTGTCGTAACTGTAGGATACCCCGAAAAAGTCGATCTTTCTGCGCATTGGCCGGCAAATCCTGAATATTACAACTCCACTATCGTCGTGAACTCAGAAGGCGAGACAATAGCCAATTATCGCAAATCTTTCCTATACTATACCGACGAGTCGTGGGCACTAGAAGGTGATGAAGGGTTTTTTGAAGGCTATATCACGGGCCTTGGAAACACTTCAATAGGCATTTGTGAGTATTATCCCTTGTTGAAATTAATCAGTCCTCAAAAACTAACAATTTCAAAGGCATGGACCTCAAGTGCGTGTAATACTCAGCAGCAGATAAATCAGATATGGCTAACAATGAAACAGTCCATACAAATACGAAGCACCGTGGGATGCATTTGAGTTTGCTTTCCATGTCCTTGAGGCCGGGTCCAACTTGGTCATCGTGTCGATGGCGTGGATGTCAAGAGAGGAACCACGCAAGTTTACACGCATGCCCAATGAGCCTGACATTGAGACTTTGACATATTGGGTCACTCGCCTTGAGCCTCTTATTCGCCAAGATACCAGAGAAGAGATCATTGTTGTATTCTGCAATCGCTGTGGCAACGAGGAAGAAGTCCTATATGCCGGAACCAGTGCCGTCGTTGGCATTTTGGACGGCGAGGTTAGGGTCTACGGGCTTTTGGGACGAGGAGAAAGAGAACTGCTCGTGGTGGACACAAATGAAAAGCCTTACGCCAAATTGGTACAACGACCTGAGACAGGCCGTAGTGCGATAATCGAAGTGCGTGGGAAGCCTCGGGAGCAAGAACAACCAGATGGAGACAACAATATCGACAAGCAGAAAACGACCGAATCCGCTGCACATACTGAACAACACGACAGTACACAGCTACCTGAAGCTCATGAGAGTAGGGGCTTTCAACCATCGGGACCTAAGGTCGCTGCTCATCCAATCAACCGAGAACTCCCGCTGCGCTCAAGACTTTACCAGGAGCCACTGAGCGAACAAATACACACCTCAACTGCAAACCTTCCTCAGCAGCTTGACCTCAAGAAGTACCACTCTTTGCGCTCTCCAGGGCTCGAGGGTTTCAGCGTTCCCACACCCTCAGCTCCTAGTCCAACTCCCCAGGCTCTTCGGCCACGACTAATCATCCCTAAATCACCACGATCCACAATACACCAAAGTCCACAAGGATCCCCTCCTACTGCTACTTCTCTGAGGTCCGATAGATCAATCCAATCGATTGACTCCGCGATGTCTGGCGCATCTGCTAGAACAGTGACATCAAATCATCGTCCTCCAGAAGAGAGTACCCCTTATCCGGACAGTGCGCTCCCTACTGCACATCCATCAAGCTTTTCGAGGCTAAGAGGCCAACTGCACGGCAACGATTTTACGTTACCAAACATAGATAATTATTCAAGCCCAAAGTCAGACTTGGATTCAATGTCTGAAACAGCTCGCTGGCTTTGGAACCCATCAGAGACTCTTATCGCCACACCTGCTTCAGCAAGCTGGGTTCAAGAGACACCAATTGGGAAGAAGCAAGGGGCGTTCCCTTGGACCAATATAAAAGCTGAGCCGCGCCCCCAAAGCACAGACACGGTGAGGGATGGCAGCAAGCTCGCAGCTTTTGTTCACAATTCGAGGGGGATCGACTCTCAGACACCCATGAGCAATACATCTTCGAACTTGACTAATGGCACAATTATCTCGGACTCATCCCTGATCTCACAAAGGGCTATCAAATCTGAATATGGAAAGACTGTGTCATCCGTAACCACCTCACGCCAGCCCGAAAGATCCAGCTATTCCAGGACGCACGAACGAGCTCGGTCTTCAAATGAGTACCATGAAAGCCCCAGTAAAGAAGTATCACAACAACCAGTAGTAAGGACTCGGCGCTCCAGTTCGCGAGTCTCATGTGGAAGTGAATACTACCGAGAATCTCAAATCGGACACTCGATTGATGAGCGGCTGACAGCAAAGTCTCGCAGTCGCAGTCGCCATACCCACCAAACGTCCACGGACTCGAATCTAGATGGAATTATGATACCTCTCGTTGCAAGCCCGAGTATTCTTTCAAACAGCGAAAAGGGGAAACATGGATCGATCTCGCCATCAGGCAATGATCAACGAAGAGGCTCGATAGCCAGTCCGAGTCAAACTTCGGGGAGAATAGGCCGCCATAGACATGGTTCTACCACTGACGCCGTTTCAATTCCATCCAGCTCCAGAGCCGCAAGCCGTGGTCGCCCACCAGGACCCAGAGATTTCCCTCGGAGTGAACGATCACACGAAGCGTTCAAGTCACCACTCCGCTCGCCTTCTACGGACTCTACTCGAAATGAAGTCCTCCATAGTCGTATCGAGCATTCTGAGCCGCGCGGACAAAGTCGTTCTAGCCACAACTCTACTAGGCATCAGTCCCGACATCGATCCCGTGGAGGAGATAATTTCGAGAGATTCGAAGCTATAGTTTGTCCAACATGTCCAGTGCATGGAAGATCAAGCTCGAACGGTGCCCAGAGTGTTCCCATCCGTTTAGCAGTAGACTCTTTGCCTCAACGTGGCCACTCTGCTGATCCTCCCCGCTTTCCAAATGGCGCACACCCGGAACAGGAGATTCTCCAACCAGTTCAAGGCCTCGATGGCTTAGAAATGCTGAGGAGATACCAAGAGGATCAGTCAGAATGCATCCTTACACCCGCCTCAAACTTTAGTGAAGTGTTTGAGCAGAGTGACCGCAGCTCCTCAGCAGCTACCTGGGACACAAGCTCACCAGAGCGGTCCCCGAGCACCCCCTCATTCTTCAACCCAGCTCAGACCCCCAGGGCCATGGTATTCGCTACGGACGATTCTGACATTGAGGCAATGCCAAACGGCGGTCTCAGTGGTGACCCTGTAACTGGTAAAGCTTCTGCTGCGACCGAGCAGCCTCACCCAACAGTTGCTTCATAAAGTGAATTATTGTAGTCAGAATTAGGTAGTTACCTTGATCAACATACGACAGATTCTTCACTTCTTGAGCGAATACTTTGAGCATGTCCTTCCTACAGTTCGAGAATGCGTTGCGTTTTATTGAAAGCGGCGAGGAGTGAATAGGTCTATGAAATGCAAGATATCGCACCTATAAATGACTGCTACATGACATTGCCACGTCTGCCTTATGTGCAGCATAGACTTTTGCTTTATATATAAATCTTGGATAATTCGCCCATTTCATTGACTTATCTTCGTCCGATAGGTAACTATGCTATGTATTAGTTGAAGGAAAGGGCACAGCCTTATGGAGAGCTGCTGTTCAAGGAATGACTAACCATAAGATCCCTAGGACTGTGTGATGTGCCGCTCCTATGATTATTCAGCTCTCCCAATGTTTCAAGTAGGTCGAAGGCCATAGTAGTGAGGGTTTAATTATCCTGTATGATATGGAGTAAAGTTCCCAGCTTGGCTGTCAAGCTCAGTGTCCATGCAGGGAATCCCGGGAATTGAGCCGAAAAATACGACTTTGAATTACTGAAGTCAAAGATGATAAGAGCTTAAGGCAAGTATATTTCTCAGTTGCAATGGCAGGGTCTGATTGCTGGAGGGAGCTTAAACTAAGCGGATATGTCGTATAGCCCGCAGTCATTTCATGTTTATCTATCCTAGACTCGCCTGTTCTCATATCTCGAACGTCTGATGAGAACATACAATTTGTGTAATTGTCCTAGAGAGCCACGAGATGCACACGGAAAGGTATGGCATGGTGCTGGCGGAAGGAGAACGAATTCCATCTGTAAGCACGGTTGATTCGGTAGAATTGACCCTCTCCCATGTGCCGCAGAGCAGTATCCGGGAAAGGACGCTAGGCAGGGGGCGGGCTCAAATGGACAGGGGTTGGGGATTGATCATTGAACCTGTAACCGCCGAGGCTAGTGTGAAAAGACCAGGGGATCTTGCAGCTTAGCTTAGATGGGGTTGGCGGTTGTCGTGATAGCGATTGTAAGTGGCTGGTTCCCCTCAGACACTATCCTCCAGACTCGAAGCTGGGGTTGAGGAAGAGACCTCACCTGTCGAAGCCGACCAATCCTGGCGAGGAACACTGTCGATTCTTACCGCGAACCAACTATCACACTTGAGGATGCAGAGGCTGGAGGAAGAGGTGGGACTTTGTCCCCAATCAGATATGAACTGTTTGTGTTCACTGCATATGCGCCTCTGTAACCATGGCGGTGCGTGCGCTTGACACTTCTTATCACCACGCCATTTCAAACTCATCACTCGCATCACTCATATTCCCTCGCCATTTTGAAGCAATTCTGTGCATCTGTAACCGCGCTGGAACAGCTGATTCTTCCCATTATTACTTCGTCTTCAGCGCGGCACAAGAAGCGCCTTTGGCACATGTCATATGTCACGCATGCCACGGCCTCTTAAGCCTGAGAAGTGGCCGGGTCTGATATAAGAGCTGGGTGCGGCCGATTGTCAACTGGCCCCCAAAGACCCCTCAGAGGCGGCAAACTTCGTCCTACTGCGCTCACACAACAAAATCCTGCTTCACCTACCGTCTTGACTGGTGAAAAAAACAGCGGACCCAACTACTACATCGGACTCCGTTATCTTCAGCTTGGCTTCTCATCGGCGGCCAGACTGACTGGAAGGCTTGTCCTACCACTAAAGGCCATCCACAACTCGACCATACAATTGACCGCCGGCTTCATCAGCGATGCATGGTTTGGCATTGATAACAACAGGCCTGACCCTGCTCGGTCCAGCTGCTGCAATTCTTGTAGCAGACAATTCTCCCTGTGGAACAGTATGTGGCAATGTACTCGATGCGACTACAAACGACGATGTCGTCTGCCAGGAAGGCGATTATACCAGTGGCGCAGGCATTGTATTTCAACAGTGCCTGACGTGTGAGCAAAGCAGCGACTACACTACTAAGAACAATCAAACAGACCAGGAATACTACCTCTGTAGGTTGAGATTTTACGTTTCAGCATGAAAACCGAGGGCTGACCATCTCTAGACAACTTGCGTTACGCAACCTCGTATTGCCTCTTCGGAATTCCTGACAATAATAACACAATAGACACACCTTGTTTGACCTCGTCAGTGATATCCTTCTTTTGTACCCGACTTTTGTCTAATACTCGACAGAAAAGCCTGTGGACCGTTCCGCAACGCTATAGTATACCGCAACTTATCTTCAGACGTCGAAAGCTACGACTATTGCGATAATTGGCCTATCCACGACACAGCTGATTTTATTGGATGTACCGAGTGCCTCCAAGTAGGCGACAACCATTTCCTTGCCAATTGTACGTCTGCTGACAATAAATTCTCTCGCTGGCTCATATACTGACCATAGGCAGTTATCACTGTTCTTCAAGCTGGATGTGAACAGAAACCACAGCCTGGCACCTTGGTCTCTACAGAAGGAAGCATATTCTCTAGGGACGACGTCAATGTCACAGAGCCCACGCCAGTTGCTTCCGTGAACCCAGATTGGCTCGAACAGGGTCCTATTAGTCTCGGTGCCAAAGTGGGCATCGCCGCTGGAGGTGTGGCCTTCATCTTATTTATCCTTGGATTTTGTATCATCTGGCGTGGTAGGAGACGAAGAAGGGCATTCCTCAGCATGCTGGAAACGAAACACAACAATTCCTGGCCTACTCCACTAACTATCCCTCGAGAAACTCGCGACACTCCTCTCAGCCAGAAGCCACTAAGAAGCTGGGACGAATCGCCGGTCAGTGTCCGATCCGAGCATCTGTTTCCGCACCATGTGTCCCCATACGCCTCGCAGTATAACAGCCCCGTCAGTGCAACTGAACTCAAGCTCGCTCACTGGCCAGTCATGGCCCCCAACCAACAGATGACTCCGGCGATGAACAGCCAATCACAGTTTCCCCAGATGTTCCCTTCAATGTATCATCCAGATCCAAGCAGCTCCCAGATAGGGGTTGCTTTGGGGGGAGATGACTCATCTGTCAACTCAGGCAACTCAAAAGGCAAGGGCCCCCAAGGGGAAGAGTATGAGATGACACCCGTGGAAAATCCTCATGCGGGCATAGGGATATATCAGACCGGCGTCAACCCCTATGGAGAGTCAAGTCGAACGACTGCTCCGCAGTCAGGTTACTTTCCAGAAGGGCTCACCCATATGAACCAGTCATACGGATACCATAACCCGTATGGACATCTCGAAGATAATGGTCGAATGGGTCGTGACCCGTAGGCTCGACTGTGCTACGAGCCTGATAACATATTTGCGGCTCTGTTTTTTTCTCCTGTTAGCTTGGCGTTGAAGGCTGGAATACCACTATTGATATGTCACGATTTGAACTGAATGAAGTATATATATATACATATAGCTCCACTGCGGACTTGCACTTGCAGGATGATGCACAGGACAGTCTAGATAGAGCACCTAATCTTGAGAGTTCCCACTGAAAGTCAGCTAGTATCTTGATGCATATCTTGAAGTCTTCGCTGTTGTGATGTCTGTCGGATGAGTGAACGTGAGAACATGACTTGGTAGACCCTAGTGGTGGCTGCTGTGGCTAAAAGCCGCCGAGGTAACCAAAACAGGATTAGTGTTAAATTGCCGCCACACACCGGTCGCAGCTTCCTCCGGTCCCCACAATGAAATCCGGCCAGAGAAAAAAAAATTTGGAAGCTTCCAACAACACCGGGCAAGACACTGAGGAAACCAACGACTTGCACCTTCCGTTTCTTCCCTCCTGTCGCAAAGAAGCACCTGCCGCGCTTCACCCGGTATATCACACAATCTCCAAAAGGGAAACTACATTCCGTTCACAATGTCCAAGGACGTCGCGGTCGTCAAGAAGACGACAACGGAGGAGGAGGAGTACACCATCAAGCCCCAGGCGACCACTCCTTCTCTTGACACCAGCCAGTGGCCTCTGCTGCTCAAAAACTACGACAAGCGTGAGTTTCCAGATGCAATTCGATGATTAAAGCGCGTTTTTGATATTTTCTGGTGGCTTGCGGTGCCTCAATTGATCCCTTATTCGAGATTCAAAAGGCTAACCGATATTCTTCAAAACTTGCAGTTCTTGTCCGAACAGGCCATTTCACTCCCATCCCCAATGGCTGCTCTCCCCTGAAGCGCGATCTTAAGCAATACATCAGCTCTGGTGTCATCAACCTCGATAAGCCCTCTAACCCTTCCTCACACGAGGTCGTCGCTTGGGTCAAGCGCATTCTACGGTACGAAAATTTTCCAATCAAGAGTATCGCGTCAAAGTGCGCGTCCAAGTCGAACTATCTACTAACGATGGTGCCTATAGATGCGAAAAGACTGGACACAGTGGTACCCTCGATCCCAAGGTCACTGGTTGCTTGATCGTTTGCATTGACCGTGCCACTCGTCTTGTCAAGTCCCAGCAGGGTGCCGGAAAGGAGTATGTGGCTGTCATCCGCCTTCACGATAAGCTGCCCGGTGGCCAGGCTCAGTTCGCCCGCGCTCTCGAGACTCTCACCGGTGCGCTCTTTCAGCGCCCCCCTCTGATCTCTGCCGTCAAGCGTCAGCTCCGTATCCGAACTATCCACGAGAGCAAGCTTATCGAGTTCGACAACGACCGACACCTCGGTGTCTTCTGGGTCAGCTGCGAGGCCGGCACTTATATTCGAACCCTCTGTGTCCACTTGGGTCTTCTTCTCGGTGTCGGTGGCCACATGCAGGAGCTTCGACGTGTCCGCAGTGGTGCCATGGATGAGTCCAAGGGCCTGGTCACTCTCCACGATGTTCTCGATGCCCAGTGGCAAATGGACAACACCCGCGACGAGTCTTACCTTCGCAAGGTTATCTCTCCTCTTGAGACTCTCCTGACTTCTTACAAGCGACTTGTTGTCAAGGATAGTGCTGTTAACGCCGTGTGTTATGGTGCCAAGCTCATGCTTCCCGGTCTTCTTCGATATGGTAAGTCCTCAAACGATAATGCATGTTGCAATTCACTAATTCTCGGACAGAGTCTGCCATTGAGCATCATGAGGAAGTTGTTCTTATGACCACCAAGGGTGAAGCCATTGCTCTAGGTATCGCACAGATGTCTACTGTTGAGATGTCCACCTGCGATCACGGTGTTGTTGCCAAGGTCAAGCGCTGCATTATGGAGCGCGACCTCTACCCCCGCCGCTGGGGTCTTGGCCCTGTTGCCCTTGAGAAGAAGAAGCTCAAGGCTGACGGCAAACTCGACAAGTACGGCCGCCCTAACGATGCTACTCCTGCCAAGTGGAGCTCCGAATACAAGGATTTCAGCACCGGCGATGCCTCTGCCGCCGCCGCCGCCGCCGCTGCTACCGCTCCTGCTAAGGCCTCCGAGGCTGAGGATACTCCCATGGAGGAGGCTGCCACTCCTTCTTCACCTGCTGCTGATGACAGCAAGGACAAGAAGCGCAAGAAGCACGATGGCGAGACCGCTGAAGAGAAGGCTGAACGCAAGCGAAGAAAGGCAGAGAAAAAAGCGGCCAAGGCTGCTAAGAAGGCTGCCAAGGGCGAGGCTATGGACAGCGACAGCGACTAATGGATTTCAGGCCAAGTTTGGGTATGGGCCAAAATCTGAAGGCAGATCTTGATACCCGAGATGTAGGTTCTGCTGGCAAGGAGAGGTCTGCTTGCTGTACCATATTCTTGTTCTCGTGCCGTTTTTGGCTGCTTGAAATTGTTTTTGGGGTTATTATGGCGTTTTTGGTTCGAAAATCCTTGGTAGGAGTAGATGCAAGGCACTCAATGCAAAGCACGATAAAACTACTGCATGTCTCTGTGGGAATCGTCTGTCTAGGATCTGTGAATGTATGAGACTGAATCATGTCTATCTGCCGTAGTTTATGCTTGTGACCGCTGTGTGTAAGGACTGATGCATGGTTGGGGTACACTAACACATGACACATAATGTAGCGGTCACGTAATACGGTGGCTCTTGGTGTGTTACAGTATTGTTGAAATCCGATCTGAGGTCCCATCGTCATGAAACGTCCATCAAGTCTGGGCAATGCATGTGTTGTCATGAGGCTACTGTAAGTATGATGACACATTTTCTGGACACGAAATAATTGAGAGCATAATGTACCTTAGTCTAGTTGAGTCAGGGTTCCACAGAACATTGGAAAGTCCCTGATACGTACGGTCGAGTAACAATCCAACCGCCGTTGTTGTATTAGTCGCAGATAAAAAAGGAACCAGTCTTGGCCAAACAAAACATTGGACCTGGGTGGAAACATTGGACGAATCAGGCTCCAGCAACGCATCTCGAGTAACAGCTGTCCCTGTTTCATAGTTGAAGGAGTGGACTTCCACCGCAGCAACCTGTTCGCTAAGCAGAGGACTCAAGTCGCGGCAACTCTGTTAGCCAGCGCATGGCACAGCATAATGGCGAGGGATATCCTGGCTTGGGCGTTTACTTGGACAGGCTGAATTTTTGGTCCCTTCCTTTGCCTGCTCCTATTAAGATCAGGGATGGCCTTAAGATTAGACTGTTGTCAAGAGAGCGTCTAGTTGGCCGTTTCTGTCCTGCATGAGAGTGTATTGGCAGTAGTGAGTGGTGGAAGTAGGTCCCATGGCTTGGCCTGTGGCTGTAAGAGTAGAAGTATAAAGTGAGGAAAACTCGGAGGTTAGTTGTGCGTTTGCTCGTCTAAGGTTCTGATATCGAAAGTTTCTTCTCCCGGAGATCGATACGAGTTTCTCATATATGAAAAATACTTCCAACAAGACCCGTCATTGAATCAGAAGCCTATCTACACTTTGCAGGCGTATTCGACTCAAACTTTCTTCTGCAAAGTCTGTTTTTTCCCCTTGGGATATAAAACTTGCCAAGTTCTCATCTGGGTCAAGGATTCACAACTCAACGTCAGAGCGTGTTGATCACTTAGCCTTCAGCTTTACTCGGACCCAGTGATCGACTATACATGACATCGAGATTAACTGATACCGAGATTGAGGCTCAGCTGAACGATTTATATGCTGCAGTGCCAGCGTCCCAGGAAGGGTTGAGTTCAGAGAATATGCCCGTCATGTCCGCTTCATCGAGCCCCTGGGGGCGAATCATCTTCTTCATTCTCTCAATCTCTCTTCTCGACAATGCATCAGCCCTGCCAATAAACAACTCGTCTCCTGTTCTTCGACCTTTCATATTACCACCACCAAAGCAGCACTTGAGTCCAAGACATAAAGGTCGCGGAAGGTCTTTCTCTCCACGACTAGATATCAACTTCCCCGACCCATGCCTTGTTCAAGACCAAGACGACCACTGGGTGTCTTTTGCAACAAGCGGCGGTGGTCACCACATCCAGGTTGCTGTGGCAGATGATGTCTTTGGCGAGTGGACTCATCTCCAGCAAGATGCCCTCCCTGGAGATGGATGGACGAGTGGCAGAAATTATTGGGCCCCTGACGTGCGGAAACTGGAAGACAACTCGTATATAATGTACTTTTCTGGGGAACTTCCTGAAGGTGGACATTGCATCGGAGTTGCACGATCCCACAACAGCACCGGCCCATATGTAATGGATCCTGAGCCATTCGCCTGCCCACGTGACGAAGGCGGCGCAATCGACCCGGCGGGTTTCTTTGATGAGTCCACAAACAAACGATATGTCGTCTATAAAGTCGACGGCAACGCTCTCAACGACGGCTCGGGAACTCCCATCCGACTCCAGGAGGTCTCGACAAAGGACGGCTCCACACCGATCGGCAAACCTGTGGACATCCTGGACCGGATCGCCTCCGAGGATGGGCCCCTGGTTGAGGCTCCGAGCCTGGTACGGACAGAGCAGGGCAAGTATCTGCTCTTCTTCAGTAGCCACATGTACACAGGCGATGCCTATGATCTCAAATATGCCATCAGTGACCGGGTCGAGGGCCCTTACAGGCGGGGGAAATCTCCATTTCTCAAGACACCAACTCTAGGCCTGAAAGGTCCTGGTGGAGGCACAAGTTCGGAAAACGGACAGTTCATGGTGTTTCATGCGTGGTGCGGGAAGGGGAAGAGATGCATGTATGCCATTGGATATGGACTTGAATACGAGTAGAATAAGATAGAACCGGCACCGAGAAGGAAATCTTCGGCAGTTTTGGCGTTTATGGGACGGTTTTTTTTTTGGATAAACTTATAGACTAGATCTCAAATTGATTCATTTCATATGCGCTTTTCTTCGTAGTCGTTTCCAGGTGTGATGTGATGATGATGAATGAACTTTGTGATGACGGTTACAGCCTAGAGCCAGCCTTAATTAAGCGCTGGGGCTGCTTGGGCCCCTAAAGCTAGTAACCGCCCTGAACTACACTGCCGCTTCCCCTGTATCTGATTCGCTGCTTGTAAAAGCCATCTTCTGGCACTTCCAGGCACGAACCAATGAGGCCACAGAAAATCTTCCGTAAACAGGCTCTGTCTGGTTTGTCTCAGTTCACCACCCTTCCTATGTCTCATACACACAACTTAAGCGCCCCTAGGGGGGGAAATAAAACACCGAACTCGAGATCA